GTATGATCATTCCTCTTCAAAGTTGAATCACATCATAAATAATTTAATTCTTAATAAAATACGTAATTTAATTAATTTAATAGCATCTACTTTATTCTATAATAAAGTATTCGATTAAGGATAAGACACTCATTAGGAAACTATTAAACATTTTTGTATAGGAAAAAACTGTTTAGTTCAAAACGCTCTTAAAAAATTTAATGGGAATCCTTATTTTTTATTTTAAATGACAGAGAAAGAATGTCTAACAATACTGTTCTTATATTATTTTTTATTTAATGAACCGATCTTTTGTTATTGCTTATTAAAGTAAAGCGATATTTTAGCAACATTCTATTGACAATTTAGTGTTGCACTTACAGTAGTCAGTAGTAATTTCTTCATCCTGTCAACTTCTCAAGTTTATATTGGCAATTCTCATTATCATATGTCATTTACTATAGCAAGAATAAATAATAATAATTTATTAAAGACAGATTGAAACTGATTGTTCTTGCCTTCAGTATTATGAAATTCAAATAAGTAATGAATTCAAATTTTCAACTCAATCTTTAAACTATTTGAATACCAATAGATTGATCAAATAAATATTAGAACAGGCTTGTTGAAATTTTTTTTTATCATATTAAACTTTAAAATATAATACATACACCACTCATTCTTCAGTAGTGTATTAGTCATCAAATTAAATATATATTATTCATGTCAATCCTTTAAACTATTCCGAGAAATATGTCTAAAAATGCATTGATACAAATCTAATGTAAAAACTTTAAGAAATTCTTTAGTTGTGACAAGTCATCTATTTTAAGTAAAATAATATGTAATTACTAACACAATTGAGTAGTAAACAGTTAATAGTAAAAGGTGTCACTTCTTGCACATATAGATGAATTAAATTTAATATAAAAGGACATAAAAACTGTGCAATTCGATTCACTGCTCATNTAGTAAACAGTTAATAGTAAAAGGTGTCACTTCTTGCACATATAGATGAATTAAATTTAATATAAAAGGACATAAAAACTGTCAATTCGATTCACTGCTCCTTGACTTAGTGAACTTTCAACAAGTACAAGAAGTGGCTCGACAAACTTATAATTTCACACAAAAAATGGAAGAATATTTATTTTCAACCTTACTTCAAATATCGCTAAGGTAAATTCACATTTCACAGAAGATTTATAAGGATTAAAGTCAAGTATAATGAATACATAAATTAAGTAGAGAACCAGAAAAATTAAGTGATTTCTAGAATAAAATAGTATTTTAATAAATAAAAAAAAATCAATAACGTTTATATGAAGTCAGCTAGCCTTGTCCTATCTTTGAGTAGGTTACCCATATAGTCAATACAAATGAAGTCTCTCCTGCGAAGACAAAGAACCCACTTGTGGTTTTTATACTACTCGAGGTATTTATTGACATGACTCATAATCAGCACAAGTGGCGTTGTTGATAATTTATGTGTGATAATTAATCAAAATAATTTCTATTTCAAGTTATTATTATATCAATACATTTTTAAACATCTCATTGTTTTTCTATATTTTACATCTTCTCATAAAACCCTCGTATACTCATATCCCGAGAGAAAATTATATTATATAATTTTATTCAATATATAGTAACTCAATTATTCTCATGCTCGTACAGATCAAACAATAACTAATTTTATACATCATTTTTATAATAGAAACCTATCATTTATATATACATTATATATTGTATATTTACATATACAATATGGATTTTTTTTAAAGATTATAAAAGTTTAGATTTTTTTATTATTAAAAGAAATGAAAAAAAAATTATCTAACTACATATATTTGTAGTTTTTTGAAACATTTTCCATTACAAAAACTTGAAAATAGTCAATAATTTCTTAGAAAAGGAGTGTCTTATTCTTAATTGATTACCTGTATATTAGTTTCATAGATATAGACATAAAAATATTTTTTAGGTCATTAACTCCACTTTTTTTTTTTATTCCACATATACAAACACCAATTTTTAAATATTTAAAAAAGAATGTGAATTCTTTGTTTATTTGTCAAACCACAGAGTAGTGGTTTTATTTATTTATAGACTATAAGAAATTACTAGTAACACTGCAGTAGAGTGGCAAGATTTTAGATTGTGAAGAATAAGTGTTTTTATGAAACATTATAGTATCAAATTAATTTGTAATTGAACTTGAATAGCTTTTAGCCAATCCAAATTATCTAAAGAAATTAAAACCCAACAATTTTACCCATAGTTGTGTAAGCCAACTACAAAAAGCTTTTTAAAAAACTATAAAGAACAATGAATAATATTAAATTAAATTTAATTAATTTCCTTAATCTAATAAAAGGAATATTGCCATCCTATGACCACCTTATGCATGGTGTTGTTAGTTACACTTTTACTATATTTATTAATCAATTTAATTTTACTATATTTAATAGATAAAATTTCTTTTTACTGTGGCAATAAAGATATTTAATTACAATAGAGAACATTTTAAGTTAAAGTATCATTTAAATGTAATGGAATTTTGTTAGACATATAGGAAAAATCAATAATAATTAACAGAAAGGCACATTTGATTAGGATAAAACGTGCAGACATTTTTTTAAAACAATATAACACATATTTAATATAAAAATATTAGGATAAATAGAATAAGATAAGTAAAAGTATATTAAGAAAAAATACAACAGGGCAATTTTTTTTTTTTTTTTTTTAATTTTTATTTGGCTTATAATTTTTTTATACATGCTCATCTGAATACCCTCTAACTCTGGTTTCAAAATTAAAATATAAAAAGTAAAAATAGGAAAATAGATTATGTATAATTTCTTCTTAATTAAAGAGAACTGAACGAGGAGTATAACTTGAAATCTGTAGATACAACAAAAAAATTTAATTTGATAAATATGTTTAAAAATACAACACACAGAATACTTGATTGTAAAATATGTACAAAAATATTACGATTTAATTGTATAAAAAGTGCAAAAAGAAAAAAAAACAGTATTTGAAACTACGCCCAACAATGAAATTTAAAAATTATTTAGAATCAGTAATTATTAAATAAATTCAAGACTAACAATATTACTAAATATTTACTTTAATCCCAATCAAATATACAGATGAAGTTACATGGGTTATGCCAAGTTATTTAATAATCCCAAAAGAAATTATAATATTTTACATTATTAAATAATTTAGTTCAATAATAATAATAAAAATAAAAAGATTGACAAACACTTAAATTATTATTAATATTAACCAAAAATCTGAATACAATAATCTCATTAAAACTAAAAACAATTAGGATAGGTTAAGAAAAGTCATTTTATGAGCATACCAAAACTACCAATACATTTATTTAAATCTACCTTAATAATAATGAGTACTTTTTTCTCTAATTGTTTATTTCTCCTATACAATTAAATTAGTGTTGAGTGTATGAACTATTCTTAAAAAGAAAATTCGGGTTTAATGGATTGATCACGAATATTGAATGAAAACACATTTATCACCTAATTGGTACAACATGAATAAAAATAATAACAATACTTAACTCCCCGTTTTTTT